CGTCGGTTAAAATATTATTTAACGACCAGAGGAGTGCTCTCTCGCAGTCAGGACACTCAAAACAGAGCACCGACAACTCGCAGCAACCTCCCCGCGGCTTCTGTCGTGTACACTTGTCGACCTGTGCCCATATGGTACCGGTACGAACCATCGGGTAACGAAAAGATTTGTTATTTTAGTTTTCTGACGGTGTGAGGCTATCTTGTACACGGGCTGTGACACGCAGGTGCTCGATGTAAGGTTCAAGTTGTGTTTGAATTTCAGTATGAAATGGACATACCATACGCAAAAGGACGGCTCGCGAACACAGCAAACATTTTTCCGGGAACTTCCCGGTTGTATTCGGGAAGTACATTTTCCGGTTGCTCCAAATGTTATAACATGCATAGATATGACGAAAAATAGCATCCGGAAAATTACTTCCCGGATTCAACCGGGAACTTCCCCGAAATATATTTGCTGTGAAAAAAAATCTTACTCCAAAGACAATATTGCCTTGTTTTAATGGCGAATTTCATTTTGTGTCAGCTTGCACTTGAAACACACTTGTAAGTGTGGCATGGGCCGTTAGAGGTGTACACGCTAACGTTATGATCATTTGCAATGCAATGTTTTCAGCATGGCTTGTTGGTGCTGGACTAATCGCTGGCGCGGCACTATTCCTGAACGACGTTCAATCCACGTTGAAAGAAAATGAGAGGTAGTGATTCTTTAAGCATGTTTAATAAACCGTGTGGGCTTTAGTCTTAAATGCGCAACGTACTTCCAGATCGCCGGCTTTAGTATATGTCGAAGAGGGCGCCCTGCTGGGCGCTTGGGTAGATTGCGCTCAAGCTCATTGTGAGTATGCCGCCTTCAGAGGAGTGCCTTATGCTAAACCACCCGTGGGGCCCTTACGATTTAAGGTAGGTATATATTTTAGCAAGCAGGCTCGCACTTTTGCCAAACAAAGTGACAAGCTTCAAAGCTTCACTGTGCTGCACTCAGAAAATGGTAGACTTGAAACAAGGCAAAATGCGTTGCTTCATCACTATTTTTACCTCAAAAAAATACAAGGAAAATTGTCTTTAACTTAAGGCAAATGACTTTAAAATAATGTATAAATTTCCTTAGACCAACTTAATTTCCTTGAGGTTAACGGAAAAACCTTAAACCAAGGTCGAAAATTCCCTTTTTTTTTCTTTTTAAGAAAAATCCTTGGTTTAAGGATACCATTTTCTGGGTGTGTCGTTAGGGTGCTAGCTGGAGCGAAAAACGGAAATTGGCTGCGCGTCGTGGTGAAATGCACAACTTTTCAAAAGCCGATGCATTTAAAACATTTAAACACGGAGGTGAGAGGTGAGGAGGGGCGATTCTTTTATAACTCCTCGCCTCTCCTCTCTCCTGCAAGCGGCTCGTGAGCGGTCACGGCTGGCCGTGCCTCGGTCAGCGTAGGTCCAGCTCAGGCAGCGCGTCGGTCAGCTCGGTCGGTCAGAGGAGGCCTTTTTGCAATGCTCTGGTGGAATGGTCTATTGCTGCACTGTTCTATATTGTAGGCTCCACGACCCGCTGCGTATTGGGATGGAGTGCGTCTTGCGATAGAAGAAGAAAGCTTCTGCGTTCAAGACCACCAAGGCCAAACCGGATCAGAAGATTGTCTTTACCTGAACGTATACACGCCTCACATACCGGGAAAGGTAAATAACTTCTACATCTATATTTTATGTACAAAACGTACAGTACCCTGACAACCCTCGTAGTACAGAACTGTCGTACGACTGTCAGACAACAGTAGAAAAAAAGTTACGGACTGTCGGTGCGATATACGAAATGAGAAAAATGATTCTATCGTTATACTATCTTTTTTCCTGGGAACGAAAATCTTTGTCGGCCAGCTATCGTAGTGGAACCGAAAAACAAAAATGTTATGGATTCGATCAGAAATCGATAAAATTACAACAGAATGGTAGATAGTAAAAATTTGATAGACCAGCAACAACCATCTGACTTGGAAAAACCATCACTCTTAGATTTCCGTTATCGTCACAAGAATTGGCCGATGGAAAAAAAATTGCACTATGTGCGGCAGTCTTGTGTTACTAGGGAAGTCATGTACCTATATATATATTATAGCAATTTGACTGTTTCATAACCACCCTTTGCGGGACTCCTTGATACGGAAAGATTAGTAAACCTCCAGCATTCTCAAGTGCATTTGTTACTTGAATAATAAGCGTATGTCCCTTTAAGTAAAATTGGTCTCAAAAGAAGAGTATCAAATACTTTTCTTAAGTGCGTTTTTCTCTCGGACCGAGGACCTATTTGCTTTTCTAAATTCATGTTTAATACGCTCTATCGCTCCGCTGCGGTTGCTTCTAATCACGTAGATTTCATCGTCGCAGTACCCTGTGTTCGTCTTCTTGCATGGCGGAGGCTTTATATTCGGAGGAGCATCTGAAGCAGAATATGGCTCTGAGTACCTTGTGCAACAGGGCATCGTCGTAGTGACGGTGCAGTACCGACTCGGAGCGTTTGGTAGGAATTCGCTTTTTGAACTCAAATTGCGATCATACATTTACCCTATCAATTCTCATAGTACTACTTTGGAGGAAAAAGTACTGCCATCTGCTAATAAAAAAGCAGCTCTACTGTTTATATGTTTCTGCCAGGTTTCCTAAGTCTGGACACGGAGGACATGCCCGGCAATGCCGGGCTCAAGGACCAAGTGGCTGCGCTTCGCTGGGTTCGTCGGAACATTGATCGATTTGGTGGAGATCCTGAGAAAGTCACACTGGGAGGACACGCAGCAGGGGCTATCAGTGCGAGCTGGTTGAGCCTTCTTCCATCTACGTATTTTCCATTTTCCAGGTTTCCAGGTAGTAGTTGAACTATGACATGGAGTGTAGGTAAGTGTGTTCATCACTAAAAAGACTAATTATATCTCAGGGCGTCGGTTAAAATATTATTTAACGACCAGAGGAGTGCTCTCTCGCAGTCAGGACACTCAAAACAGAGCACCGACGACTCGCAGCAACCTCCCCGC